AAAACAGAAACAGGCCCTGACCACAAACTGGGGCCCAGATTTCCAATTGCTCCCTTTTGCATGCCCCAAGTTAGGGAGTTGTCAAGGGCTATGGATTTTGGTTCAGTGTCTTGATTAATCCAGAGAATGTTGCTCATGCAACGCCCGTTTGAGCTTCTGGAAACTGACATCATTGGACCAGTGACTCTGGAGACCTTGTGTCAGAGGCTGACCGGATGTTGTTCTTCCTCTTGCTTCAACACTAGTTCACAGTCGCTAGAACCGTAGCCTCAGACGGTATCAGGAACGGGATTGCCTCTTTGTAAGTATTCTTCCCCTCTGGCAACCGGATCGCATGGCTTGTGTCTGACGTTCTCTTGACGCCGTGTCATCCCACTAAAATCTCATGTTGTGGGGACACACTGTGGTACCAGAGCTGTCACCACACACCTGAGTGTGCCACTGCGTGGCATCACTCTTGGAGATATTTCAGGGCGTGTTTAGTGTTCTCAGGCTGGTTGCGTGGGCAAGGGACAGCCGCAGTCCGGTCACAATGGAAACCGCTTGTGACAATACCACGGTGGCAAGGCATCCCTGGCTTAAGCAGCACAACGATCCCTCTTCTTCCCTATAGCACTTACGAGCACTTTCAGCCAACGGCTGCACCTTACTGAAAACTCAAGGCCAGATTTGGCCCTCGGTAGTGCCTGTGCAAAGCCCCAGACTTCAGAGCAGGTTGCAAGGGTGCAACCGTGGGCAGAATTTAGTCCTCGGGCTGCAGCCATTGTCAACTGCCTCACTGCAATGTGCATCTAGTGTTGGGAATTGGCCGGCTCTGTAAAAACAAACACTGCCCAGGACACATTCCACAGTGAGCTGGAAACAGACTGGGCCATCAAGTTACCTCTGTTGCTTAGCTCTCCATACAGAGAGGCTGTACATGAGCTGGAAACAGACTGGGCCATCAAGTTACCTCTGTTGCTTAGCTTTCCATACAGAGAGGCTGTACGTAGAAGACGATGCCTGGCCCATAGTTACAGCATGGAAGAGGAAGACAATATAAAAATAAAAGGCACTAAAGTAAACCCATCTCAAGAATAGCCCTGGTTTTAGTGAGAACCTCAGTGAGCTGAAATCCAGTTATACACTGTCCGTTGGCTCTGGGCCGATATTACGCCTGTGAAAGGCCATCTGGGTTGGTAAAATAGTCGGCTTGCAGGAGTCGCTGTTTCCCTGCAAAGCAGGTTAGAATTGACCCGTTTAAAGCTGATTGTTCCTCAAAGCCAAATGGCACGTTTCCCTCCGTGGTCCCGTCTTGGGCACTAAGCGTGGGGCATCTACACACTCAGCCCCTCCATCGTAGGAGACCAGGAAAGGTTTGTGTTGCCCCACAGGGACCCTACAGCTCTTCATCTCCCTGATTCAAGCCCCTGTAGGGACTCTCATGAGACGAGAAATGCTGAGTGAGCCACCGTGATCATGGAAAAGTCTATTT